TGGAGATTCAGTTAAAAAAAAAACGTGCACATATCAATCAAACGGTGGTGGAGTGTTTGGTGAAAATTCACACATCATGGTGAGAGAAGTTTTACGAATTTGGACATACCCACGTCAAATTATCCCTTAACTTAACAAGCATGCTTTTGGATTACATATCAATATCACAAGTAAAGTGTAAGACTTCTGGCCGTAAGGTTTTGGACTGGAAAGTTGTTTATTATGTGGAAGAGTCAGAGTACTCCCGAATCGAAAAGATAGATAAACGTTTTAAAAAAAGTTTTAAACTTCTTTGTTTATCGATAAAAAGCCATTTATTACCCTAGCTGTCTGCTCTCTATCAAATATCTTAAGTTTAAGTCTACTCTCAAATTTTGTTAACTTGGCAAGGCATTACTTGTGAATAAAATCGATACACCTTTCGTGGGAAAGGCGAAAGATTACCAGCCAAAGGCTATGGATATGTGTCTAACAGCGGGATAAAATTGAATAAATTTTGATACGTAACAAACTCAAATTGCCTGATAGATTATGGAGTTGTTTGTCACCCATAATATCAAGCTAGTAACAAATTTTTTTCATCTTTTTCTCCGTCGAGATATAGCAGGACAAAGATTATTCTAGGCAGCAGACGGCAGGGCCAGCAAACCATTTATTCATCCTGGTGTTGTTCTGGGTCTACCGTCTCGAATGACAGGGCCAGATGTTCTGTCAGGGGATCTGCAACTATACCAGAAACCTCGGGAAGCCTGCTTGGGACCCTTATGAATACAGTGGCCGTGAACTGTAATTTTTAGATCTTCTGAAAAAAGATCTCCCAGTCGCCATTTCCAGTCTGAATGACAAAGTCTCTTCCTGGTTGTGAAAAAAATGAATGCAGCATTTGAAAGATCTGCTCCCATGTTGATTGCTTCTGAGATATACGAGATGGAAGCTTCCAAAAATTGCAAAAAAAGATCATGTTTCTTGGGTAATCCTTAAAAAGAAAATAAATGGAATGTCATTGTATGTGATCCAAAAGGAAGCATTATATTGCTATCATCATCCTGATGGTCAGTATTCAAGAGCTGGGCGGCGTGATCTTACCTCGAAATTCGAAGAATGCCTCCCCCTTTTACGAAATCGGTCCATCAAAAATCTATGTAAATTAGTTGAATATAGTTTGCATTTTTTTGTGTGTAATGAACCATTCCTTTAGCATTTCCGCCTCATTGTAATGTAAAAACTCCGACATTCAGAAGATTAAGTTTGGTAGGTCCTTTTTAAATGAAATGTCCACTTTTAAATGCAGGCTTTACTTCCTTCAGTAGTTTTATAGTTACTTCGCCAACACAGCCATCACGTTGTCGAAAAGGGTAATGATTTTTATTCTACCTTGTGCCATAGGTCAATAAATTTGTCACCGCAAACCGATTTTTCTATCACGCTGAAAATTATGTCAAAAGATGTCTTTATTTTTCTATCTGTTAAGGTTTGTAAGATATACATGCTCAGCTATTGGTCCGAGCACTTCCAGACCATCTTCGTTGCAAACTGCCATGTTCAAGACCCAGCAATCCTCTGCATCCCTCAACTACCAATCAGAGAGGAGCTCGATGAATCACCTATTATCGAGGAGACTGTTAAAGCCATAGACCCGCTCAAAATTGAAAAGCAGCGGGATTCGATGGAATTTCAGCTGAGATCTGGAAGCATCGAGGTTCAACACTACACTGCAAGCTCCATGAACTCCTCGTCTGCTGCTGGGAACAGGGCAAGCTACCGCAAGATCTTCGAGACGCAGTCATCATCACCCTGTACATGAACTAGGGAGAACAATTTGACTTTTCAAACTATCGGGGGATCACCCTTTTGGCCTTCGCCCGTAAAGTCCTTGCCAGGATACTGCTCAACAGGCTTGTGCCATCCATCGCCGAAGAACATCTTCCAGAGAGTCATTGTGGCTTCAGAGCCAACAGAGGCACAACGGACATGGTTTTCGCTCTCCGTCAACTCCAGGAGAAATGCCGTGAACAAAACAAGGGTCTGTATGCAACATTTGTCGACCTAACAAAAGCCTTCAACACTGTCAGCAGGTAAGATCTGCGGTAGCTTCGTGAGCGTCTCGGCTGTCTTGGAAAATTCCTCAACATGGTGATCCAATGCACGAAGACCAACGCGGCCAAATCAGACTCAACGGAGACCTGTCAGATCCCTTCCCCATCGCTAATGGCGTGAAGCAGGGTTGTGTCCTGGCACAAACCTTCTTCAGCATCTTTTTCAGCATGATGCTTAAGCAAGCCACTGTAGACCTAGATGATGAGGATGGCGTCTACGCCAGGTACCACCTGGAAGGTAGCCTGTACAATCTACAGCGCTTGCAGGCCCATACTAAGACCCAGGAAAGGCTGGTGCGGGAGCTCCTCTTCGCATACGACGCTGCCCTCGTTACCCACGCAGAAGGAGCTACACAGGGAATCACAACCTGTTTTGCAGGCACTGTTCAGTTCTTTGGCCTCGAGGTCAGCCTCAAGAAGACAGAGGTCCTTCACCAGCCCGCGCTCCAGGAGGAATACCACCCGCGAAACAGAGCTGAAATCAGTTCAGCAATTTACCTAAGTGGGCTGCACTATCTTATCCGACGCTAAGATCGACAAGGAAATTGACAACAGACTGGCAAAGGCTAACAGCGCCTTCGGTAGACTCTACAGGTGTGTGTGGAACAATAAGAGCTTGAAATGCAAGACCAAGATCAGTGTTTACAGAGCTGCTGTACTCTCTACTTTGCTCTACGGCTCCGAGGACTGGATCACATGCCGCAGCAACATCAAACTCCTCGAGCGTTTCCATCAGCATTGCCTTCGTACCATCCTCAACATCCACTGGAGCGACTTTGTCACCAATGTCGAGGTCCTCGAACAGGCTGAAGTTCCCAGCATTGAAGCCATACTGTCAAAATACCAGCTCCAGGCTGGGCGTGTGACCCGGATGGAGGAACATCGCCTTCCCAAGATCTTCATGTGTGACGCACCGTCAACTGGCTATCGAGACAGAGGGGTACCAAAGAAAAGATACAAGGACTGCCTCAAGAATTCACTCAAGTCCTGCAACATCGACCCCCATCAGTTGACAATTATCACTGCCGAGCGGGACGGCTGGCGCCACACAGTCCACACAGCTGTAAAAAACTTTGAAACCATACGCCGTGAAGCCCTCAAAGAAAAACGTCAGCGGAGAAATACCAGAGCTGCTGCTGCCTCAGAGAACCAAAACCCTGATCAGAACCTCAAATGCTGCTACTACACTCGAACCTACCTGTCCCGGATTGGCCTCGTCAGCCATGAGCGGGCCTGCAGTGGACGTGGACGCTCTTCCTTTTAAAAAGGTTTGTTAATGTTATAACGAGAATGCATACTTCAAAGAACATTCTAAAATTATTATAAGTTGATTGACACAATTACTATTAAAATTACTTACATCTAAGCAGGTGTTCAAACTTTTTGCTGGAAAAACCTCTATGTTTGCGTCTTAAAAATTATTAGCGAAAATGTAAATATGCGAAAGTTTTCTTAATTTTTGCCTCACCACGTACAATGCCCGGTCACATTCGCGAATTTAACAGGCTAAAGCAGCATTCGAGCCACGATTTGGTACTTAAAATATGGAGGAATAATAACACTGAAGCGACTTTAAGAGTTTTTTTTCTCTGATTGTGAATTACGTCAGTATTAGCTCCACAGAAGAGCGGTGCGAGAGATTAACTATATTTATGCAATCCCGTGTCCCACTGGGCCCCAGTAAGTTCCAAGTAGTGGATCTAGTTTCAAACTTACGATCTGACGCCTTAAGTGCGTGATGTCTGGACAAACAGGCAGAGAAATGGAATCTGTTTATAAAAAAACGGTATTTTCATGTATCTTAGTCACTGAAAAAGGATTTTTTTAACTGATTTCCGCGTTATGAAAGTCTGAAGAAAATTTTCTTTATATTTAACAAATAGATTCCAAGTTGCCGTGCGTCTGTTCAGTAATAGATCAAAGATAACGTCAAAATGTGGTAAGAACAAAAAAGTGGCACACGAGGCCCAGCCGAGTGTCTCACTGATGTGACACGGCAACTTGGAATCTATTTGTTTTATATAATAAAGAGTTAAAATATACGGAAAGAGACTTTTAATGATGACGTCATCTATACGTCTGTCCTCCAATAGATCATAAGTGAGAACAAATCAGAATGCCTGCATAACTGAGCTTATTATATAAATATATATATATATATATATATATTTATATATATATATGTTTGACCCCAAAGTCGCCATTTTGAATCTTGTTTAGCTACCTTGCCATTTACCTGTAACGTGGAAAAAACCTCAACCCTCTTTATCATTCCTCCCGACGATCTGTTTGAATAACTAGGAGCTACACATAAAATTATTCTTGACTCAATTACCAGTTTTTTAAATCAAACAAAACATCAGCTGCTTACGAAAGCGAATATGGTCAGGTTATTATTATTTTTTTTAAAAGGCGGCGTCAAATGTTGGCATATTTGAGGATAATCTTTTAACTCTTTATGGGTTGCTCTTTGAAAATTGAATAAAGAGAGAGGGGTCATTTCAATTTTCGGTTTTGCGGTTTTGGTTATTATTTAGATCGGTTTTGGTGTTCATTGCGGTTTGGGGATATACCGTTTTAAAGCATTTGTTATCGGTATTCCCAAAAATCACCAATGGGTTTTCGGATTTGGTATCCGATGTGATTTTCGATTTTTCCTACTTTGGTTCTGGTTCCTCTTCGATCTGAGCGGCAACTATGATTTTGAATAGCCGCGAAACCTCTGCATGCTTCACTTGTCACAGGAATGTGAAAATTTATCGGTTCTGATGGTTGTGCATGCAGTTTTCGGTTGTGAACCAATTTTTTGCGGTTTTGCGGTTTTGGATGATTTTTTCTACGGCCTTGCGAGTTCTAATAGACCCCAATGCCCCCCCTCTATTTATTATCTGGAGTAAATATCCCTTTAAATGTAAATAGAGACGTCTTTATTTGGCACTTATTGTAAGATTCGAGGCATCGGTTATGAGTGATTTTTACGAGCTTCTTCTTCCGTCACCTCGGGAAGTGTAACCTTGAACGTGGGTTCCTGAGCCTCATAGGTCAGCGCTAACGGACCATTGGTAAAAAGAACGGCGGTTTTTGGTGACGGGCACCACCATGAAACCACCCAGAAAATTCTGAGACAGAAGTCAAATAATTTCCAAATACCCCTTGAAAACCGTTTAGGACCCTTGCGAACACAGCAGCCATGTACAACATCCTTTGCGTCCTCTGAAAAGAAAAACTCCCAATCTCCATTTCCAGCTTGAATGATAAACTCTTTCCCTGGCTGCGATATAATGAAGGCAGCGTTTGTTAGATCAGCGCACATTTTATTTGCGTTCGAGATGAATGAGATGGCAGCTCGCATAAATTTTAAGGTTGTCTGGTCATCTTCACTGAGATTTCCATGCTGACCTTCGGTTCCGCATCGCTTTACGATCTCTTTTCCGAGAACTATAGATGATATTTTATCAACTCTAAAGATCATGTTGCTTGAGTAATCCTAGAAAGTAAAAAGCGAATAAAAATGCTTTTAGCAGCCTGCAAGATTCTCAGGAAATTCTCACGCCATTTTTTCCCTCAGCTTTCTGTTTGTTCTAATATGCTTGCTCTCATTAATATTTAAAAATCGCTCCAAACTCAAGCTCAAAGTGTGAGCACTTTGAAATGATGTTGAGATCTATTATTAAGCTGTTTGCTTAGTGCTTGGGTCACGTAACAAACCCTTAAATTGTTGGTTTTTACGTCTTCCCAAAGTTTCTCTAAGGCAGGTGGTCCTTCTGGCGAGATCGATTTCGTATAAACAAGTGCAAAATGTGAACATGAAAGAAGAAACATTTCCAGCCCAATCGAGGCAAAATATATTTAAGCTTATCCTAAGAGTGAAGCTGGGATGTGCGGCTCAAGCTTCAAATTTCCTCGACTAAAATGATATACATTCTTGTGTAGTGATAACCGTATGTAAAACACCACCTCTTGGATTATATTAGTCGTAAGTTTGACAACGATGTCATTCAAGTTTTGAGCAAAACATAGGTTTGGTACACACATTAAGCGCAAAAAGGTCAACCATTTCATGGATAACTCAAATCAATTCAAATTCATCGAACGTCTATCAATTTTTTGAACACATGACCTGTCACTCGACAACGTTTCACAGGCCTATTGAGTTCCGTTTTACCCAAGAGTATCCTTAGGTTCCGCCCAAATTTGAGAGCAACATTTTAGAGGTGAGTTTCAAGTTACTTTTTGATTCTTGACTCTAGGAACCGTTTTCGAAAAAGTTGCGGATTCATTAGCCGTATTCATGGAATACATGTGGACGAAAGGTCAAACCACAGCGAGAAAATTGCGGATCGAAAAATTTCCGGATACGTGTGGACGGCGCCTAAGTCCGTCTGTTAGATTTAATACGAGTCGAATTTACGTAATGTCCATGTAAAATGCGAGCTCTATTCAGTTTTAAATTTGGAAAGTTTTAATCGAATGCGACTCCAGTCTTGACCAGAATTAATGCATGATTCATTTGTTACCACACTTACCCAGATATCCACAGTTGCAGATTCAAGGACATGCGCAATGAAAACGCACGAAAACGAAAGCAGTAGGGCAGTATTCATTAATCGTCACTGCCTAAAATGAGAGTTTATTTATTTATTTTTCTCTCTTTCTCTTTCTTTCTTTCTTCGTACTTTCTCTTCCTTTTTCTATTTCATTTTGTAAGAGATATTCGGTTTTTGAAGATAAAGAAGCATTTGGTTGGAAAGAAACGATTCACTCGTTTGCCAAGATTGATTTCGGAATATAACAAATCACATTCATGAGCTGGAGTTGGATACAGACAGACTTAATGAGAAAAAAATCGGGTGCTTTAACTGTAACTTTATCGCGACAGTTCTCTTCAACAAAAACAATATTTATTTTGCAAAAGTAAGCCTACAAAAGTCATTTTCTTGATGCCAAGACGATTTGGTTGAATGTTTTCTCATTTCAACAGAGCCGTCTTTAGTCGAAATTACATTTGGCGCATATCCAGAATGCAATGTTTAAAACAAGCTTGAGTCAAAAATGATCGTAGCAGAAGTCATGTGCATGTGCTTCTTCGCACACGCACATTTTGGTAAAAGTTAAGAGTTGAGGTCGTAACAGAGTACTCAGCAGCTACTCGGTGCATTTCTAAAACTAACAAGATGTAGTAATTCAAACCGCGTAAGGAATCAAAAATATAACAATACTGGCCCTCAGACCTCTCGTGAGTGTTTTAAAATTGAAGAGCTGAGATATCGCAGTGATTATATCTCGATCGTTTGCGATCGTTGGAGACCCGAACAAGTTTGATTCCTACAATGAACTTGGTATTACACGTATGTCGAGTGTGTTGCCCTTTTTTCGCTTTGCCCCGATGTTTATGCACGATTATTTAAAATTTCAGGGGTATCCGGAAGAAAAAAAATCAGAGTGGAGAGAATAAGCCCATATTTTCTTGGAAAAAAGATTGAGTCTCAGTGAATTCGAACAGATGGAGGTCAAATTTTTGAAAACGGCCATCCATTTCGTTGCACTACTATCTTTGGGATGAGGTCAAATATTTTTCTAAAATCCCCCAACACTTGGGAAACGCACTGTCAATCGTCAATGGAGGTAAATATTTAAAGAACGCCTTGGAAAATCCTTGAACTGTTTAAGTAAGTAGCTGCATACATAGACGGATAAACATTTCTCATTAGCATATGAATACATACTTGTCGCTCTTCTTTAACGTAACCTGACATCATTCTAATGAAATATAGAACATTTCTTGTAGAAATAATTGAACATTAAAACGCACTCAGTTTGCCTTAAAATGTCGGAATTTTGAAATTTTCCGGAGGGGAAATGCGTTTCGCAACCCCCCATCCCTTTACCTCCTTTACTGGCAACCATCTTCAGAGGTCACTCAAAAAAATTTAAACCAAATCTTGGATTCACCAGTAGATTCACCATGCATCAGTAAAACGTCAGATTATGTGTTAGTCATATGCGACAGTAACTTTAACAATTTGCCTTTACATTTTCAGAGTGAAATGCCGTGATCTCGCTTTTAAAGGTGTTGATGTATTAAGTCTTACTTTGCTGATTTTCAGAATTTCGGTTCACAGTTAATATGCTGTAATCTCGCCTTTAAAAGGTCTTATTACAATAAAGTTTGTCTTTTGATCGTCAAGTCTATCATTTTAAGCTCAATCGAAGCAAAATAGATTTTAGTCTATTTTAGGAAAGAATGGAATGACATACAGCCTTGACTACAAAACTCCTTGCCTGTAACGATGTGTCCTCTTGCAGTCCGAAAAATTATGTTAAACACGGCCTTTGAAGTCAAGTCAGTCGTAAGTCTGTAACCTGTAAGTCTGACGAAAATGAAAATTTCCTTACCAATGTCATTCTTGAATTGTTATTTCCCTTCGTCCTGCTTTATTGCAGCTCGCTCAGGGAAGAAACAGATTTACTACATATTAAGTGGAAGACATTTCACAATCATGCCGCACAAGGCCGAGTGGTTTTTAAGCATAGAGCCGAGTAAATTGTTCGCTTTATCTATCGTTCGTTCGTTGCTGGGAATTTTCCCTAATAAAGAACCCGATATGGATTGATGGATACTATATGTTCCTTGCATAGAAGGGAAACCCCCTTGACAATGAGTCATCTTTTGTCCTTTGTTTCATTGGAGAACCCGCATTAGGGAAAAACCCGAGAGATTCAGGCACTGGAAGGCTGCTGTTTATGTTTCTTGATAGTTGCACCAAAAGCTTTACATAGGAATTCTTACAGAAATTAATTTTAAGTTATGCGCTTTCCAAACGCCTCGGAAAATATTTCATTAGCAAATCTCTCTTTTCAAAATAAATTCATCACATGCTGGGAATTTTCCCTTACACTTGAACTTTGACATTTTCTGTCTTCTTTCCGTGGTTGAAAATGCCACATGACAATGAGTCATCAAAACAAAATTTTCCATGGCCAATCAAAATTGAAAGCAATCATGAGGGGGAAAAACCTTGATAACCTCAAAAGAGACAAAAACGCTAGCTGCCTCAGTAGTGTTACGGTTGTCTGACTTGACTCCACAATCTGTAGACAGCTTCTCCCATCACAAAATTGTGATTCTCGCAAGGATTTGGCCGAGCTATTTGTAATGAGTTAGCTCGACACGATTATGGGAAATTTCATTGGCAACGCTAGAATATTACCAGTAACTATAACTCCGTCTTTGGCTCCGATTAGGAGATCAACCTGTAAATAATCTATCGATGAAACTCAAAGAAATTTGTCCCTTTCGAATTTGACGTGGTCAACACGAGTTTCGATATTAATCTGTTGTCAATACCTTCCTGAAAGTGAAGGGAAGTTTTCCGTTTTACCGAGTTCATGCACTCAACATCATGCGCGATCGATGCCAGATCCTTCAATTAAACTTGAATTCGTTACTGATCGAGATTTCCAAGCGGAGCTCGGCAATCCCTCGACAGAATACCACGGGAAAAGACGCATTTTATTTAAAAACGAGCAAGTAGCTGGGAACTTAAAAAAATAATTGAAGAACTAGTTCAGAATTTTAACGTTAGACCTTCTTACGGTGCCCTCACCCTTCAACTCCCAAGATCTCATTAGTAATTTTCCTTACTGTCTGCCAAACGATTCTCATTATGTTAGTTTAGAGAATTTAGTATCGAATCAATTTGTAATCATTCAATACATTCTCGTCACTTGTCTGCATGATACTGTATGGATATAGTAAGGGGAAATTCTCTCTTGGTCACTCACGGGAGTTAAAGGGTTAACCACGGCGCTGCGTTACAAGCCAATCCAGCATACTTATACGATCGGTAATCCGTACTAGCTTGAATATTCGTCGGAAACGTTCCAACGTTCCAGCGTTCCAAGGGGGGGGGGGGGGGAAGGGGGTGGGAGAGTTTCTAAGAACCTTACTGAGGGGAGTGGGAGCGCCCGCTTCCTCACATGTAGTTGCGGCCTGAGTTCTACCCCCGATTCTGTCGATACATGTGGGTTGATTTGGTTGCTGGTTTTTGGTGTCTAGTGCTTTAGCACGAAGACACCTATGGAAGAGTGCAAAAAATTTCGAAAAATACTTCATATACCACAAATTACGAGGTCATACTAGTAAGGCCACATGAAAGTATACATTTTGTGATGGTCGACATGAAGGGGGAAAGAAAATGTTAACCAAAAAATGTGTAAACAAATCGATTTATAATCGCGGGGAGTCGGAAACGAAAAAACTACGACGAATCCCATTCAAGAAAAAAACAGAGCGAGGAATAGTCGAGACCAATGGAATTTGGAAACGCGAAGAAAACAACAAGTCGATGAAAAGGTAATGTTTTCTTTCGACGTTGTGCGTAGTCAAACCCACGCGTGGATGGTGAAGTAGGTAAGTGAAGCGGTCTTTTGTGGAGTCTTTATAATGAATTTCCTCAAAGTTTGTTTCTCATTATGCCACAGTTTTCGAAGCACGGTTCAATGTGAACGAGTGAAAGGCTTCAGAAAATAAAGAGAGATTGGTTAGCGTGCATTACAGTGACATTTGTAAATCTGAATTGAGGCAGTCAGATAGAAGAGCGGCTATGTGTGTTGAAAACATATTCTTTAAAACAAAGAAACTGCAAATGAAAATACTATTAGGAAATTCCCAAGTTGCTCTTAGAAAGTGCAAAGGGAATAGCAGAACTTTAAATGCAGCACAACTTAAACAAGAAGGAGCATTAGAGAAATTGATTCATCATGATGATGGATTTCAGTTTCTTAGAGCATTAAGAGGTTCCCTACCATAATTTGAAAAAGCAAAGAAAGACTTGTTTGCCATGATAAGACAATTAGGACCAGCCTTGTTATTTTGTAGTTTCTCTTCAGCAGAAACTCAGTGGATCCATTTGCTCAGAATACTTGGAGAGTTGGTTGACCACAAACAGTACACTGATACTCATCTGGAAAATATGAACTGGGATGAAAAATGTAGGTTAATTCAAAGTGACCCAGTATCATGTGCCAGACATTTTGATTATCAGATCAGTCAATTTCTCACTAACTTCCTCTTGAATAAGTGCCAACCTCTAGGAAGGATATCTGACTGGTTCTATAGAGTAGAATTTCAACAACGAGGTTCACCTCATATCCATATGCTTATATGGCTAGAAAGTGCACCAGTGTTTGGAATTGATGATGATGCAACTGTTACAACGTTCATTGATCAGATTGTAAGTTGTAAATGGCCAATTGATGACCCACAACTGCAGAAACTAGTGAACAGACAAATTCACAGGCATTCTCACACATGTCGAAAGAAGTCAAAGAGTGAATGTCGATTTAATTACCCGCAACCTCCTATGAGAGCAACTGAAATCATGTATCCTTTAGGTTCAGATATATCACAACACGAAATTAAAAAACATAAAGAAACTTGGAAAACTATTAAAAAGCAACTAAATGATTTAAAGGATGGTGAATCAATTACTTTTGAGGAGCTGCTTCTTAAACTAAGTATTACTGAAAATAACTATCGATTAGCTATCAGGACAACTTTGAATTCTCCAACTATATTTTTAAAAAGAGAACCAAGTGAGTTAAGAATTAATAGTTACAACCCAACTTGCCTTAAAGCATGGAGAGCAAACATGGATATTCAATTTGTTCTTGACATCTATGCGTGTGCTATGTATATAGTATCAAATATTTCTAAAGCACAAAAAGGAATGAGTAAACTTTTGTGACAAGCATGTGCAGAAGCAAGGAAAGAAAATTCTAACATCAAGCAACAAGTCAGGGATATTGGAAACAAATTTTTAAATAGTGTTGAAATTAGTGCACAAGAAGCTGTATACATTGTTCTCCAGCTCCCTATGAAGAAGTCATCACAACGAGTGGTATTCATAAATACTGCACCTCCCGATGAAAGAGTGCAGCTCCTCAAGCAACTTAATGAAATGAAAGAAATGGAAGATGATTGTGAAGAAGTGTATACAACTGGTCTGTTGCAGAGATATGTAAAACGTCCTTCAGCCTTGAACACCTAACATTAGCAGATTGGGTAGCATGGTATGACTTGTCTCAAAAGCCTTATGTAAAGAAATCTTTTCAAAATGACACAGATAAACTTCCTTTAGAAACAGGCATTGATGAAAATGATGATACCCTTCCTGATGAAAGTAGGAGCAATAAGGAAACAAATAGAAAAAGATCATCAGCTAGAATTATTAGAAGTGTTTGGTTTAACAAAGAAAAAGACCCAGAGAAATACTACCGTTAATTATGCTCTTCACATCATGAAGAAATGAGGAAACTGACTTAATATCCAATTGTTCTTCTTATAAGGCCCGATTTTTACTTATGAAAGATGCCATAAATGACCAAATGAAACAATATGCTGTTTACAGCGATGAAATTGATAAAATTCAGGAGCACATAAATGATAATATTCTGAGTGATGATCAGTTTCATTCAATAGCACCATTTACTCAAAATATAGAATACCAAGATGAGTATGAAGGTGTTCATGACCTACATCCTGACTTCAATGAGAACTATGACCTATCAGAAGATGTTGGAATTCCTTCTGTGACAACAAGTACTGAACCACTAATATTAAATGAGCTGCAAGACAATGATTATAGACAATTAGTACAAACACTAAATAAAAAGCAAAAATAGTTTTTTTTATCATGTCTTGCATCTTATTAAAACATCAGACAAACCATTTTACTATTTTCTCTCTGGAGGAGCTGGAGTGGGTAATTCCCATCTTGTCAAAGCATTATATCAGGCAGCATTAAAATATTATAACTCCAGACATGGAGAAGATTTCCAAGAAGTCAAAATATTGTTGCTTGCCCCTACTGGAAAAGCTGCTTTTTCTATCAGAGGTAACACAATACATAGTACCTTGCAAATACCAGCATGCCAATCACTTAAGAATGACAAACCACTAGACTCTAGTAGACTTAACACTTTGAGATGCAAACTTCATGCACTTAAACTAATATTTCTAGATGACATATCTATGGTTGGAAATACCATGTTTAATGTACAAATAAACAATAGATTAAAAGATATTAAAGGCAGCAAAGAGGCATTTGGGGGTGTTAGTGTTATTGCACTGGGTGATTTATTCCAGCTAGAACCAGTTATGGATAGATAAGTGTTTAAAGACATGAAGGACTCAGAGTATGGAGCTCTTGCTCCCAACCTCTGGAAAGAACTTTTTACCATATTTGAATTACAAGAAATCATGAGGCAGAGAGAAAGTAAACAATTCGCTGAAATTCTTAACAGATTAAGAGAAGGTAATCACACTACAGATGACATTGCCAAACTTAAAGAGAGATGCATTTCAGAAAATTGTAGAGACTACCCAACTGATATTCCCCATTTTTTTACACAGAATTCTAAAGTAGATGAGTGGAACAATAGAGTCCATATGGCAGCTACTGGTGATAAATACACCATTAGAGCTTTAGACAGTGTTATAGGTGCAAACTCTCCAG